AAAAAAAACGCTCGGCGGGAAACGGAGTTCGGGTTTGGCGCAGATGGCGTCCAAGAATGATCTCCTTGGTTCTCTTTTTACTTGTCACGCTGTCATGCCAATCAATCTGGTAATCTTGTCTTACGTTCATTTTATTTTCGGATCGGCTGAAAATCCTATCGGTACTTAGGGTCTTTAGATTTCTGTCATTTTCATTCTAAAGGAATTGTGCACTGGAGGGAACTATGATTGTTTTAAATGCGCGTTGTTTCTACCTGCTCAAATATCCATTTTCAATTTCTCTACTCCACATCTCAAAGATCAATAAACACTAGGTAAAGAGGTCTCTGTCCATGATCATTATCACCCATCTCAGCCAGTTTAGCATCATACTGACCTTCTCAATCATCACCTCTACTCTATGCTGTAAACGGCAGTGATATCCCTTCCAACAAGATCTTGGTTCTCGTAGCATTCCGTCAAACACCCCTCTATTTCGTTCCATCGCACCCTATCACACCGCTGCTAGAAATGTTCTAGACGGCTCTGATAGGGGCAATTTGGCCTTGTTCGTTCCTATGTTTATGTGGGTTAACCCAATTTTCTGAAGTTTTCAACCTCTTAGTAACACAAAGACTAGATTGGTTTATGCATGAGGACTTGAGCCGGGATTTTCCACTTTGAATGAAGCCATTCAAGTGTCAAAACCTCAAATACGGCCTCCCTAGGCCATAAACAGGAACCTTGGTTTTTGTTATGGTCTAGGGGAAAAGTACGCTGTATTTCGTTCAACATCAAGTCCAAGACATCTGTTGCATCGGGCTCTTACCTACAATTTTTGCAGGGATGTATGCCATTTTCGTTGAAGAGTGCCTGTAGATGCTTCTAACAAAAGTTTTTAGAGACTGAAAGAGCACTTGGGTTTTTCTCTTCCTTTCCATGCACAAGGGGCTCTGGGTTGGACTGAGCTCGTGTTAAGCTCCTTCCTAGACATCAGTCCATCCGGTGTGAATGGCTCAAGTCAGACTTCATCCAATCTAGTTAGACTCGTTCAACAGAAGACACACATATCAGAGACAAACCCCCCTTTTCCATCTTGCCCAACACAAGCTCCATGCTTTTTTCTCTGGGACTTGATACACACCTCGTACACCTCCCCGAGCCCTAAGTCAGGCAATACTCCACCGCCCCGCCTGCCCACCGCCTTGACCCCAAAGGGCTCGCCGAGCAAGTCGAATTGATTCTGTTGATCTAGACTTTGCATAGTGACACGCGTTCGAGACAGTTTCAAAAAAAAAAGCAGATCGGTCGATACACATTCACTAAAGGGAGAAAATCAAGCAACTGTTCCGGAGTCCACGACAACAAAACAATTTTACTTCCGCCCATTCCTCCGCACCCCTCTTACCCCTCAACCGCATTCAAGCTCCGAAGACAACATTCACAGCCAAGATGTCAATCCCCAATGAAGCTCTCCAAAAGGTGTGTCTCAGGCTGAATAATTTTCCGTCTTTGGGTCAGATTCTGCGAGCAGATGGCCAGGGGAAGCGGTGTGCCAAGCCAATTCGGTCTCACTCAGCCTCTTGTCTCTCTCTGGTTTCCGGTTGAGGATGTCAGTTCCAATGAAGGTGTGCAGATTCTAATAGGTTCAATCACTACAGCTCCTTCAGGAGATTGAAGCCCGTGCGATCGCCTCGCAGCAGCAGATCAGTATCACTAAGGCTCATATGACCTCCAAGCAGCGCGATATCCGCATGCTACAGCTTACATCGAAGGAGTTGTCTGAGTTGCCTTCCGAGACAAAGGTTTATGAGGGCGTTGGAAAAATGTGAGCATTGAATTTTTCCTCTTCCTACCTTGTCTTTCTGTTTCTTGTTTCTTTTAATTTCTCTTCTGTTTTTAATTCTGCGACTCCGAAACACTGGGGCAATCAGAGAAATTTCTTTAATGGGCCCTTTTTGCGTGAAACTGAGACTTGACTAATTCCCGTTTCTAGGTTCGTCAACGTTCCCATCAACACAGTCAACAAGCGCCTTACGCGCGAGAGCGGCGAGGCCACCGCTGAGATCGCCAACCTCGAGAAAAAGCTGCACTATCACGAGACGACAAACCAAAAGAGTCGGGAGAACCTGGAGCAGATTCTCAAGTCCGGTGGAAGGTCGTGAACAAAACGTTGAAATGAGGATATTAGACGAGAGCAAGACGTGAATTCAATGCGCTCCTATGTGGCGGGTATTCTTGATTGGGGTAAATTTATACCAAAGGTTCAGCGATTCTCGCGAGTGTGGATCTCAATGGGAAGGAAGAAGGAGCGCACAAGCCGGGATTTGCTCCGTCTTTCCCTTCTGGGGGGATTTGTGACACAGGTTGAACGGAGAAGAAGGGACGGGTGGAAAATGTCATCATCTCGAGGATGACCCGTGGACGTGATACACTTTGCCCCGGGGAGATGCAGGGAGGGTTCAAATCTTTGCCCTTTTATGTCCGGCTGGCCTGGTCACATTGGCGACTATACTTACTTGGTTTGCAGGCTGGTGACTTAGATACCCGGAGTTATCGTTTGCCAAAATTTCTGTCTTGATACAAGCGAGGAAACAGTATGCCTTGATAATCTCTATGCATATGCCCCCTCCTTCTTTTGTGATTTCATTGTCAACGCCTAGAGCTGGGGTCAAGATTTGATTGATCTTCGGCTGTCTAGCAAGAGAACCATCCAGAAAGATACGTAGCCCGGGTGCCACCATTTCAAATTTTACTTCTTGCACGGGTTGCATCTGAACAAGCGCATTGCGGGGCCGGTAGTTCATCGTGCAGCTGTCATTGTCAACGATGCAAGGATCGCCAAATGCGAAGCACGGTTAAAATTACCTCGTTCTCATCTGTTTCAAGATATTGCGACATACACCATACTTTGTAAATGCCTATGTAGCTCTAACATTTTCGTAAGGTCTGCCCAAAACGCCTGTTGGGTAGGGCTGACATGCCAAGAACGCTGCTCTATTCGACACCATACTCAATGTCAGCAACGGGATCCCAAGGACATAAAAGGGGTAAAAAGGGAATTTACCATAAAATGCAGCATTGGAACTACATGACAGACCGAATAAATTGTACATTGCAGAGCTCTCGTGTGCTACCAGATCAACGCCGTCGGCGTCATCACAGTGTCCACTCCGTGCATCAACGCCCAGTTGCCCCACTGAGTATATTAAAAATGACGTATGTCCAGGCCACACATAACCACACATTTCCTGGAATAAGAATCTAAGACACATCATTTGTGGAATATTACCATGTGATAGGCTTGTTGATTGTGGCAACTTCGCGGTACATGAATTAAGTCACAGACTGACCACTGAATGGGCGAGGAAAGCATCCTTATCACTGTTACCGCCATGACAAGCATTTCCTACTTCCTGCCTTAGGGTTAGGGATGGACTGAGTACCTCGTGCAACTTGCTGACCTACAATGGACTTTTTTTGCCACTTCCACATGTAGCTATGTTGTAATTCTAGGTGTGGCTTGGATTGGGGCGTTCACAAGTCTAGACTGCCCCCAGTCGCCCCATGGATATCAGATCGTACCTATGTTTTGAGCCCTGGCCCTTTCAATAACCACTAGCGATGCTTCTCGTGGTCGCTTTGGGTTGTAGTCAAAAGAATGATGCAGCCAGGTGTTGTGGACCTGTGTATAGCTGTGTCCAGCATCCACCGATATCGATCTTCGAGGACTAGATACACGAAGTCTAGATGTCGAGGATGAGTGCTCTTAGAAAGAACAAAGTCAGGTACAATAGTCGGACGCCCCATGGGTCTGCACGGGAATACCCGTCCTCGTCCACAGGTTCATTGTCGCATTCCATGGATAATGTGTCACGTTCTCAGCTGTGAGATTTCCCTTTCAGGCACCTTGTCTCGCCGCTTATGACCAAGTAAAGTTGGGTTTCATCCGCCCATCCGTATCAACGCAGTTTCCAACCATGGAAGAAGTTCGACCTAAAGCACTAACCCCTCGGCCAACAATGCACGATGAAAAACTGACCATGAACTGTTCTGGTTCGGTGTAAGCCGCGACCAAAATGACAAGATCGTCTCCAAGATGCTGCGAGTCTCATTCACCTTTACTGATCCTCCCGATACGTTGTCTCGATGCTACTGAGAAGAACAAGTACAATAGGTATGGCGGATAGCTACAAGTTTTTTTTTAAAAAAAAAAGCAAACTTTCATCGTCTATGGTCTTGATCTGGAGATGCCCAACCCGACCTCGAGTGGAGACTCGCATTCTGTCCCGAGGCTGAATTGAATGAGCCCACTCATTCTCCTTTTCAGCCCTACCTGCAATACGCCAAAAGCCACCATACTCCAGATACTCAGGATTGTCCCATCTCTGATGCATTGCAAAATCAACTCTTCGTAGGGTAGGCTTTCAAGTTCGACACGGTTACAGCACGTGACGATGTCTAGCCGTCCGGACGGGAAAATACAAGCCCAGCTCCCTCATTCCCACAAAAGCGGCAGCTCAGATCCATGGATGCAAAAGCCCCACCCGTGGAGCTACCGTGGTGTTGAAAATGGATATAGATCACGGACGGGAGAAAATATGAAACAGGGTTGGTGCCCAATCCATCGCTGCAACGAATAGGATTTCATATGCCCGATTGTCAAATATCAGGTAGGAAGACCAAAACGAACCAGTGCCTAAAAGAGCCCTTATTCGAGTCTGAGTTCAACACGCGAGCGACGAGATTATCCACAGAAAAAGGAGTTGATTGGACAGTAGAGTTGCAGTAATCGCCCTTCTCTCTCTTAGACATTCTCTCTTTTAGACCCAAGTTAGCGTGGTAGCTTCCGATCGTGACTATTTTTAAGTAGCGTATGCAAAAGTGTTCTAGGGGTTTATGCAGCAGGAAGGCCTAATATGCAGTTAAGAAGAGTTAAAATTAGAGTGCCCAGTTGTCAATAACGTTGACACAAGTCTCGAGTCTGGACTCGAGACGGAGGCTCTGGCGATGCTATGTCTCTCACCTCTGGAGCTGACGTTGGAGAGAGTGTGCGTGTCAAAAGTAAAGAGGAACGATGGAAACAGTTCAACATAATTAGGTTGACAGAATGGAATCAAGTAGAGAGCGGAGGGTATCAAGATTAAAAGATGATCGAATCCACAGCCTATGCGCCATGAGGCTGAAAGACAGTGCTAATTAAAAAATGACGACCATGGCGTCCAGCTGAATAAATAAATAGGTACTCCAGCTGGCTTTCCTCTTTTTCCTCTTTCACTTTCTTCCCAGCCCCCTCCCCCGCTTTGACTGACGATATCAGCGCACTTTTCTCATCAAAATTCGACTATTTCGGCCTTCTTTTTTTAAAAAAAAATATTCTTCGGGTCACTTTTTTTAAATTTCGCCTTCTGTGGTGTTCATCTCCTATCATCTGCTACCTGCACCTGGTAACCCCCGCTCAGGCCCCTCTGTTAGGGTCCCAATCTATATTATCAGTGCTTTTCGCAACAACCCCGCCAAAAGGTTCCCACACGAGCCATGTATGACGATTCTGACTACTCCTCGCATGACTCGGAGTTTGAGACCGATATCTCCACCCGGAGAACAGGTATCAGAACTCATGTTCGCGAGCGCTCTGTCTCTCGTCACCGCCGCCCGGAAATCATCTCTCGCGAGTTCTTAGCACCAATCCGATCCACCCGCATGCACCGGTCGGCCTCGACAGGCGGTAGTCGACGCCACGAGCGCGGCCCACCAGCGGCACCTGCCCCACCACCAGCGGTGATGATCTTCAACGAGCAAGGGCTGCAGTCAGAGAGTCGCTCGGAGAACAAGCCCCAGTCTCGACGGGTGCACCACGAGTTCAACGAAAAGCACAGTCATAACCATAAACACAACCACTTCGATGACGAACATGACGAAATTTTTCAGGCGCCGGTCGCCCCGCGCCGCCGTCAGCGCGCCGTCAGCAGCGTCTCGCGCGATGCCTCTGCGTCCCCCTTCCAACGTGACCACGAGCTAGCCATCAGCCAGCGCATATTGGAGCGCAATGATCTCCGGCAGGACATGGGTCAGCACATCCTGGAACGCAGTGATCTTCGGCAGGGCGTAGGTCAGCACATCCTGGAACGCAATGATCTCCGGCAGGACGTGGGCCAGCACATCCTGGAACGCAGTGATCTTCGGCAGGACGTGGGTCAGCAAATCCTAGAACGCAATGATCTCCGGCAAGACGTGGGTCAGCAAATCCTAGAACGCAATGATCTCCGGCAGGACTTGAGTCAGCAAATCCTGGAACGCAACGATCTCCGGCAGGACTTGGGTCAACAAATCCTAGAACGCAATGATATCCGGCAGGACTTGGATATCTGGAAGCATCAGCAGGAGATCGAACGGCTGCAGCGGGAGCTGCAGAAGTCTCGTGGGCGCAGCGACCACGAGCGCGAGAAAATCGTTGTGAATCCGCAACCCAATCCGCACGAGTCTCGGCTGCTCAGGGATCCGCATGAATCTCGGCTGCTCAGGGAGGAGCTCGAGTACGAGGACGAGATTTCAGAGCGGCTGCGTAAGCTGCAGAGGCTCGAGCGCAAGCATCAGTCCGCGGAGGAGGAGCGCAAGGCCGAGGAGCGCTATCAGCTCAAGAGGCTTGCGGCGGAGAAGAGGGCCGCTGACGAGGAAGAAGAGGTTAGACACAAACTGGAGCAGGAGAAACTGAGGGACCTTGCGCGCAAACAGGATGAGAAGGGACAGAGGGAGAAACTTGTGCGGGAGGAAAGATGGAAGGAGCTTGCAAGGGTGAAGGAGGAGGAAGAGGAGAGGGAGAAGCTTGTGCGGGAGGAAAGGTGGAAGGAGCTTGCAAGGGCGAAGGAGGAGGAAGAGGAGAGGGCCAAGCTTGTGCGAGAGGAGAAGTGGAAAGCGCTTGCTCGGCAGAAGGAAGAAGAGGAGGAGCATGAGAAACTGGTTCAGGCGATTCGAGATGAGGACATGCGCAAGGCGAGGGAGGCCGAAGAGAAGAGGAATAAGGAGCTCGCTATGAAGGCTGCTGCTGTTGAGGAGTGGAAGGCTGAACAAGAGCGGATCAAGCAGAGACAGGCGGAGGAGGCGATCCGGAAGGCGAAGGATTTCCGCGATCGCCTTCGCAGCATCGGCTATTCCGAGGAGGAGATTGACGCTATCATCAACAAGAAGGAGGAGAAGAAGGAAGAGAAGAAGGAAGAGAAGGAGGAGGAGAAGAAGGAGGAGAAGAAGGAGGAGAAGAAGGAGGAGAAAAAGGAGGAGAAGAAGGAAGAAAAGAAAGAAGAGAAAGAGACTAGGATCACATGGATCAAGGTATGAAGCTTACCTTTTCCTCTCTGAACACTCGGGCTTTTTTACTGACACCATGCCAGGTCCATCGCAAGCACTTGCTACCAGACACCTTGACCGCTTACGGTCTGCCTTGGGACTGGGACGAGGTCAGAATCATTCCCCACGTGTACACAACGAAGACTAATACGTTCATAGAGCGACCCCAACTACATCATCATCAAAAGATGGATAGACGACGACTTCCAAGAAGAGCTCTTCGCCCACACCCAACGTCTTCGCGAGGGCAAGTTCATCGCTCAGAGATCCCACTCGACGACTGAATTGAAAGTCAATGACCGCAGAAAGGACAGACTGTTCCTGGTTCGGAAGAAGAGCCCTTCAGGCCGGGTGCGCATCTTCGGATAAAAGATCTTCTAATCTATGCGGCCTTGATTGTGGTTGATGCTTGGACAAGAGATTCGGATGTAACGAATGTCTTCCATTTGAACGTTGTTAGGATCTTGTCTTTTGAGGACTGCTTTTTGTTGAAACTATGCTGTGTTGTGTTGAGATTTGTTTCTTTCGTTATTTTCTTTCTTTCACAGAGCTTGTGATAGTACAATTACGCGATATGAACTGATGACATTGTTCTAATTCTAATTCTATCTTTTCTCTAATTGCACCAACCTGCCCTGTATATCCAGTCCACCGTCTCCTGTCTGATCTACGGGGTTGACAAATACCTCGCGGGCAGAAGTGCTTAGTACAGGTAGATTGGGAGAAATCCCTGGTAAAAAAAATGGAAAAGTGGAGGTCAAGATTTTATGATGGGCGAAAACTATGTGCAGATGCAGTACAATGTACATGTCAGGCCTCAGAAAAAAAATCCCCCCATAAGGTTTATCTCAATGCAGGTATGCACGGCTGGGCACGGACCCAGATGCGAGCTAGAGCGGGGCTTAAATAGACTATGATACAGAAAGTGGAATGGGAATGGGGTATGATGTGAGGGAGAGTGGTAGTCAAAGGCAGGTACGATGCAAGCCTATAGGCCCATCCGGGAATTCGTCTCCCATCGCCTCTCGGCGCGCAGGATGAGCTCCTCGTAGACAGTCCATGCCAGCGCGGAGCTAATAGCCTTGCGAGCCATGCGAATACCAAGTCCACCAAAGAGACTTCGCATGCCATCCTCGTGGATCATCAAGCGTGTAGCATGCAACATGTTCCCGTATTTGGCAGGCATCAGCTGCAACCGGGTCTTGACGGCATCAAAAGGATTGGTGATTGCAGTCGCCATTCCTGCGGCCGCTCCACCGGAGACAAAGTGTATTGACGACGATGAAATAGCAGTTGGTGTCTCGCCAGCATTAGAGGGTTCTGCAACCATCAGGGCGAACCGTCGCTTCAATTGCTCGTAGAAAAGAACATAGAGGCCCGCATAGGGGGCATCGCGAGCGGCAGTAGCGCCAAATCCTGCGAAGAGCCCTCGCAGCCCTTCGGTGCGGACAATATCCCGTCCTGCGCCTACTAAGCTGCGATATGCGTAGAAATCTGACTCATAACGGACCTTGATTACGGTCACGGGCATCATGACGAAGCCTGCGGCGACTCTTGCGACGGCCCCCGTGGCAAGATTGGCTGTGTTGGAGAGTTTGGGGAGGACAGAGGATGATCTAGCGCCTGTTACCGGGCTGGTTAGCGCCATTGGGTTGGATTGCGCAACGGCTTGGCGCAATGCGTTGAGACTGGTAAAGTAGAGTGCCGATCCAAAGCCAGTGCGGAGGGCTGAAGGTAGTGTACCACGCCATAATCCACGGATTGGGTTCGGAGAGGAGATGATTGCCTTCAAAGTTGGGAGGAGGGAAGCTCCCTGGGACTGTTGGACTCGAGTTTTGAGGAGGTCCGCGGGTTGGAGAAGGACGGAAGAGGTAAGGCCAGAGCAAAGACCGGCAGCAAAGTGAAAGGTTGTTTTTGAGGCTGGAGCCATACAAAATGTATTGATTAGCAAAGAATGAAAATGATTGGGGCTTGTCAAAAAGCATACTGGTTGAGGTGCTCGTTTTCACCTGAGGCACCGTTAATGTGCTATTGTTCGACATAGCTGGATCAACTCGGGCCGCGACTTTAGCGAGAGTGAATGGATTTAATTTGAAGGTGAAAGATTCAATGCTAGATCGAAGTTCATGGGCGTCGCGTATGCGCAATGGTCAAAGGGCGCAGAGATCCACCGGATGCGTAGAAAATCAGAGAAAATTCCACAAAGACGGTCACAACTAAAGATTGGCACCAGCTTGCATTCCACCAGGGAGTAAAGGAAGGTAAACAGAACTGAATAAGATAGAGAGCAATTGCAAGTGCTGACTCTGCCGAGGTCAAGGAAAGACGTTGAAAAACAGTGAAGTCATCGCTAGCTGTGGCTATCGATAAGCCACACCGCTTGGGATTTTTCATGTTGGTTTTTCACTCTTGTGCAATGTGTGCAGAGTAGAAGGGTAGCAGTCAACTACTAATCCAATTAATACCTCGGACCTCAAATAGCTAGTACTACAATTTCAACTACATAATGTGTAAGTCGTATGACTACCAAACTATTCGGCTCTTTGACCTTGAGACTGTATGCTCTAAACTGTTCACGCCATTTGTAGCCAACACACATATACATCTTATAATATCTAATACAAGGGATATAAATCTAGAATATCGTTGGAAGTAACCCATCTACCTAGAAACAGAAATCCGTCACTAAATAGCCCCGCGGAGAGGAACAGACTGCATCCGGCATCTCGCGGAGTGCACGGACCAATCTGCCCCGTGGGTAAACGACGTCATGTGGTTCTGTTTCAGGTGACTATACACCAGGGGGGTCCGCCTGATCTCTCACGTTTATGCGATGCCTTAGGCCTCCATCGAGAACTCATGTGTGCCTGACGTTTTTCCATTACCTTACCATCTTCTTGCAACTACCCACTTCTCTCTTACCAGTACCATATGTCAGGGTGCGGGCTGGCAGGACGGTATGATAGGAGATGACTGGCAGGGACAGGTCGTAACAGATCAGATTCTCATTGACAGGTACAGGCACAGGCAGGGGCAGGCTAATATACAAGACGTAGCTCCAAGAGCTACAACAGGATCTAGAACTGAAGTTCAGATAAACAGGTCGGAGATCACGTGCCGTGATCTTCCTTTTACTAAGCATTACGGTTCACACCGTGACACCATAACGTATTTCACTACCGAGCTAGACAAACCACCAACTTGTTAATTTAAAATGTATTTATCTTAACTAAACCGCCATTAAATTAAATATACTAAAATTATCTATCTAGCTAGGCATCTATTATTCTTATGCCCTATTTCTCTACAACTACTACACTTTAGTGGCGCCTATATATATAGTTATAAAGCCGGCGAAGGGCTTCTTCGTAGAGGGGGAGGAGTAGACTGCGACATCGCCCGTCCACGGTGGGCGGTGGGCTATTTGGATTTTCGAGTGCCCGTCCATAACGCCCACGGCCCACGGGCATGCCCATCCCGGGCATACCCACTATGACCACCATTGCATAAAGTCACCTAAAATGGACGTATAACTCGCTGACTTTGTATAATAAATAACTGTTATTTACACCTATTTTGCCAACTCTATGTAAAATCGCGGTTTTAATCTATAGCATCCATTAATTTTGCTGAAATATTTAAGTACATAAGAAACTAATTTATATAAAATACGACTTAGAATAAATTTTAATCGAAATATATTATATTGTGTGGTATTTTTATTAACTTATTAAATTATACTGTATAGTTTGAAGATATATATATGGGTTAGTGGTTTGCCCTACCATTTTCTAAAATACTACCTGTAGATTCTTGTCAGGGTGCGGGCTGGCAGGATGGTATGATAGGAGATGACTGGTAGGAACAGGTCATAACAGATCAGATTCCACTTGACAGGTACAGGCAGGGGCAGGCTATTATTACACAAGACGTAGCTCCCAGAGCTACAACAGGATCTAGAACTGAAGTTCAGATAAACAGGTCGGAGATCACGTGTCGTGATCTTCCTCTTACTAAGCATCACGGTTCGCACCGTGACAAACGTGGTACATTAAAACGGCGCGCCGCTTCATAACTTGAAGAGATTTCTTTATTTTTAAAAGCCTAGATAGCTAGTAAAATCCTACCCTCTTGTTCCACTAAATTTTTAGAGGATTGAGAGCGAATTGGTGGCATAGTGGGTGGTTAAAGAAGTAGGGTTTAGATTAATTAACACGTTTTGGTGGGGGTGTCTAGCTTAGGGGTTTATCTAGCTCGGTAGTGAAATACGTTATAACTAGACTGCGGCACGATCCG